CTGTTCAATGAACCCAGTGAGTAATCCATCATGCATGTTTGTTGACTGATGCCAATGACAGTAAGGACAAAAGGCAGAAAAATGTCATCTGTTCTTTCCTGGATATGTAACAATTAGGAATCCCGGGAACCAGTGAATGGATTATCTGTATACCCGATATACCTGCAGGCCCTATACACAGCCACTCAGGATGCTTCTCAGAGCGGGGGCACATGTGAAGTGAACCATCCCCTCGTGGCTGCCTTCCTCTTTCTGAGTCCTTCCCTCTGTCTCTTCAATTGCCTGTGTCAGAGGACACATATAAGAATTTGGGAAGTGTTACACTCTGACAGTAATGCAAAACCAGAGTGAAAGGTCAACATTTAACCAGTCACCTTCAAACACAAGCTAGTGAAGAAAGAAGTCCAGGTCAAAGGGCTAAGTATTCTGTATTCTTGAGAAATCTCCATCAGGTACTCATTCCAGTGAGTATTTTCACATTTGCACTTTGCTGCCACAAACTAAGTGGGGGTCCATTTTTGAGTACAGATTCATCACTTAATCATCCGAATTAGGAGACTGAAAGAAAACATTTTGTAGTTTTGTCATTTTCAAAATCTGGCCACAAAATAAAGAGCCAGCTATTGCTCTAGGGAGAGCGATCTCACGGAGGTACTCTAGGCCAGTGCGTCCATGTCACTCTCGTTCTTTTAGCAGATTCTGTGGTGCAACCCTCTTCTTCTTCCAGTTCAGGAATCCCACTCAGCAGTATTGCAACATGTTCCTCCACAGCGTGGATGGAACCACCAAGATTCGTCAATCAAATCCAAGGTCCTTCAATCTCTGCACCGCATCGCCCATTTTCCAGCTGCTTTGATCTTGTCAGATCCATGCTGGACACTGTGCTACTCTTGTTTCTGCCTTGAAGTTCTATATACACTTAAAGTTTATTTATATATTTTTGAGGGAGAATAAAAGCACAAGTGAGGAAGGGGCTGGGAGAGAGACAGAGACAGAGAGACAGAGAGAATCCCAAGCAGGCTCAGCACTGTCTGCACAGATCTCAAGGTGGGGCTCGAACCCACAAACCATGAGCTCATGACCTGAGCAGAAATCATGACTCAGATGCTTGACTGACTGGGCCACCGAGGTGCCCCAATATTATATATTTTATTAAAATCAAATAAGGTCCTTTTCCAGAACTGTTATTTTTCTCAGCCATTAGCAAATATATACTCAATGCATTTTCCTTGTTTTCCTTGCCCGAAAATAAACTCAAACAAAACTACTATCTTAATCGAAATTGTGATACACTTCCTGTTACTCTTCTCACATTTCCTCTCCCAGAGGTCTACCTGTGAGCAATCGTTGCGTGGTTTTGACTTTGCAATTTTACTTTAGCAACTTCCAGTTATCTTGCTGTGCCAGCCATCGTTATATTGCCTTTCAGCTCTGCACTCACCATGTATCACAGCTCTGAGATCATGAAACCAGTCCTGCTTGGAGTTTCTCAAGGTCGGGATGATGTTGAACTTTCTCGAGGGAGGGAGCTAGAGGGACACTGAAGGACGAAAGGAATCTCAGCTGTTCCTGCTGCTTAGAGTTAGGTTAGCTCAGTGAGAATGAGGTTATGCAGCGGCACTCTGCCCAATCTTGTGCCCATCGCACAGAGTCCCATGTCAGCCTTGCAGCCCTTAAGGGGCCCAGCCATCACCTTCCTAAGGCTCTCCCAACAGGGATGCTCTTTCAAGCCTCTTCCATGCCAGCTCTCCATCTGCATGGTTGCACACCTGACCTACCTCCCAGCTTCTCCCTGCAGGATTGCCATGGGGCTCCCTCTCGCTCCGCACACCTGTGTGCCCGACCACCACGTGCAGTCACCCAGTGCCCTGGCCCCCTCCACCAGGGCAGGTCCGTGTGGCAGCCATCACCCGCAGCTCACTTATGCACTGCCTGAATTCTGGAGGGTCGGTTTCTGCGACCAGCTCTGGTGCGTGCCACTCATGAACTTGACTGCATCTAGTGGGTTGCAGCTACAGCCTTGGGAGGGACGCTCTTTTGAAGTTTATTCTCCTTTAGTTACTTTCTCACAGCCCTGGGGTAGCATAGAGAGTTTCTTTTATCTTCTATAGTTCATCTTTTTTTGAATTCTAATAAAGCTTAATTTAAAAATGTGAGGTAGTGTCTACCTCTTGATTTGACCCAATCATACAGGCACATTGCAGCATGCAATAAAGATATATATAATTTAAAACTTTTAATAATCGAGCTTCTACTAGGTATTGAGCTAGATACCATATAAAGTTTCAAATAAAATATTACATTTTATTTATTTTTTTCAATAATTTATTATCAAGTTGGTTTCCACATAAAACCCAGTGCTCACAGCTACAAGTGCCCTTCTCCATGCCCATCACCCCCTTCCCCTCTCCCCGACCCCATCTGCCCTCAGTTTGTTCTCAGCATCAAGAGTCTGTCATGTTTGCCTCCCTCCCTCTCCCCACTATTTTTCTCCTTCTTCTCCCCCTTGGTCCTCTGTTAAGTTCCTCCTAATCCTCCTATACGTGCAAACATATGGTATCTGTCCTTCTCCTCCTGACATAAAAAATTCCATTTTGGATAGAAAAGTTTCAAAATTACACAAATCCATACAGAGTATTTGAATTTTTTTAAATATTTTGAATAACAAGAATTCATATCTTTAAATCTGCAAATGGGTTCACTGTCACGATCAGAATATTGATCATGTGCCTAAAGTTGACAAAAATGCAGCTCTAGGAAGGGTATCTCCTGGATTCAGAGGACATTTAGAAAATGTCCACTGACAGATGAATGGATAAAGAAGATGTGGTAAATATATAGAGAACGGAGTATTACTCGACAATCGAACAGAATGAAATCTTCCCACTTGCAACTATGTGGATGGAACTACAGGGTTCATGCTAAGCGAAATGAGTCGCTCAGAGAAAGACAAATATCATATGACTTCACTCATAGGAAGACTTTAAGATACAAAGCAGATGAACACAAGGGAGGGGAAAAGAAAATAATATAAAAACAGGGAAGGGGGCAAAACAAAGGAGACTTAAATATTGAGAACAAACAGAGTGTTGCTGGAGGGGTTGTGGGAGGGAGGTTGGGCTAAATGGGGAAGGGGCATTAAGGAATCTACTCATGAAATCATTGTTGTGCCATATGCTAACTAACTTGGATATTAAATACATAAATAAATAAATAGGAAAAAAGAACATAACATATGGCTTTTGAGTTCCCATCAACGCAAAATCAATATGATCAATACATTCTCACTTTAGTTAAGATTTTTTTTGTGGCAAAGTCCCTGGCTTACCAATTTCTTTCTCTTAGTGGTTATTAAACCTAGAACAGAGAAAAATATCACTTGGTTTTAATTTATATCCTTATTCTGGGAGAATAGAGAGGCGATAAGCTCCTCAGTGGCATGGTAGAAACTCAACTTGTAAAGAAGCAGGCAAAAGACCAAAGGCTATTTCTCTAGAGAAACCACGGACTGAGAAGGCACTAAGAGTCCCTGGGATTTGGAGATGCCCCACCCCATACTTGTCAGGAGACAGGATAGTGATTCAAATCAGGGGGAACTTGGTTTTTCTTTCAGGGAAGAGGAGGCGCAAGAGGGCTTAGGATGGTCAGCAGCCCTGCCCCATGTGGTCAACCAGGGAGCACTGTCCCTTTCTGCTTGTTGTTTCCACATCCCTTGGGGTGCTGTCCTCCTCAGCACAGAGGAAGCTGGCTGACACACACCCTGTCAGGACACAGCACACCCATGTCCTATTTGCAAGACGAAGTAGGAAGCAGACAGCAAGCAGGAGGGTGACTGGGAAGTTGGAGCCACGGGGAGGCTGCCCAGAGGGGTCTCTGGCTGAGCGGTCATGACTCCTGCTTGAAATGGTGGAAGTGATTCTGTTGCTAA